AGCTGCTCTCATCTGAACTCCTTTTTACATAGTACAGGATGTGGTCCCAGGATGGAATAACCCCGGGACAATTTCTAATCTGGTTCTTCCAGAATGCTGTGTGTTTTGGAGGGAGATAAGATTGCTCCTGCTGTTAAACCTGTTTATATCACTCTTGGGGGAAACCATAATGGATGTGCAGTAACACTCAACATACATTTGGAGTCTTTGGGCTTCCTGGAAAATGTGAATGCCTTCCTCTTGGGTCCAGTTCCAGGCCTTCTCAGACTGCCTGACCTTGCCTCAGAGTCTGCCCTGCAAGTACCACGGGCAGCAAAGTGTGGAAGAGGGAAGGAAGCTGCTGAGAGCAGGGAAGGAGGAAGGACGAGGGAGCTGCACTGCATCCCCTGCAGTGAGAGGCAGTCGAGGGAAGGGAATCATCCCTTACTCATCTTTTTCTCCTTCTTGTCCTCTCTCAGGTGGAAGGTAGCCCCAGCTGGTCCCTGTTCCTCCAGCGGAGGTGCTGTTGGAAGATCACTTATGTCCGGGGTTAGAGAAGCCCCTTAGCAGCATCCCCTGTGTCACCCGAATGTGCTCCTACGAATGGGGCTTCAGCGAATGGACGGAGGTACTGGCCCTTGTCCACATGCAGTTCTGGGGGTCCAGCGGAGCAGTTTGATAGCATTTGCTTTCATAAATGATACAGGGGAGAAATACAGGGGGAAATGCTTCTGTAATCCCGTGTGCTGATACATTGAAGGTTTCCCCTGGGAAGGAGGGCCAGCTTTGTCATGTCCATCTTAGAGCTGAAAAGACTAAACCACTAAGAGGCCAAGTGACAAAGCAGTGTCAGTGACAGCAGATTAGACATTCTGGACTGTCCCTGAGCCAATAAATGAACTTATTTCTGCATTCCAGCTGAAACATATATATAAAAAAAGGCCTGTGGGTTTCTTCCTCTGCAGTGTTCGACTTCATGTGGGAATGGTGTCCAGACACGTCAGGATTTCTGTGTCAACCCTCTCACCCACAAGCGTGTGAACCCCGTCTTCTGCAGGCACTTCCCCAAGCCCCTCGTGCTGCGCGGCTGCTCCATGGGGCCCTGTCCTGAGCAGGCAGTGGTGGCCAGAGGAGCAGAGCTCCAGGTAGTGACGCCAGCCACCCATCCAGTGACTGCCGTAACTGCCAGAGGGGCAAGATATAAGGGCCTGGATCTTCTTCCATCTGCTGTGCCTCATCTTCCTCAGGAACCAAGAGAGGAGACTGGTGGAGGTGAGAAGGATGCTGCTAGATAGACCTAAGTGGCCAGTGCGTGTTTCTGTGTTGACTGACCCTACTGCACGCTGTGTTTCAGCAGCTGTAGGTCCCTCTGGATGTTACTTGTCTGTCTCTTGCACAGGTGTCTGTGGGAAGCTCTTCCTTAATGCCACCAGCATCATCAACATGACGGGTGTGGAGAGCAGTGACTGCACCGTGACCATTGGCCGTCCTCTCGGGGAGGAGATAATGGTCAGCGTTCTGGAGAGCTCCCTCAATTGCACTGCAGGTGCTGGGGACTTTTCCTTTGGGAAATCTGCACCTCATTCCCCCATGTGCTGCCCTGAATGGATCTTGCTGCCTTGGATCCTGTGTGTGCCGGTCTCTGAGATGCTACGAGCTTCTTCTGTCCCACCAAGTCTTTCCCTGGAGAGACTAAACAAAGATGTTGCCTTTTCTTTCCCCACACAATGATTTCCTCCTTATTTTGTTGATAGATGTGGGCTTAAAGGAGTTTATGGGCTTAAAGGAGCTGCCCGTTACAGGTTGTTATAAACTGTCTGTAATCAGAACAGTTACATTAGTTAACTGGACTGTTTTCATTACAGATTCTGATAAGATAGGGACAAGAAGCAGAGATTACTAGATTCCTGACCTGTGTAAAACAGAAAGTCAGACTAATTTCTGACCTTTAAGATTTCAGACTAAGTTATTGAACTGAAAGTAAAAGTGAGTCTAATCACTCTGCCTATCCATTCCAGGTGAGTTCCTGCTGTTTTCTGGGCGAATGATGTGGCGGAAGGGCTGCAGGAAGCTCCCTTTGTCACTAATAAATTCCAGAACAAATACCCTGGTTGTGAAACAGCGGCTTTTGATGCCAGGGAATGGGGTCGTTCTTCAGTACAACAGCAGAGCGGCAACTAAAAAATACTACCAAGGTACCTTACTGAAATCTTTACTATTCCTTTGGATTGAGGGAGTCATGACAAGGCCCGTAGAGTTCCACAGGTCATGGCTGTCCATGGGAATGTATGGAACCTTTGCTTCATCTCTAGGTGCTCGTTAGCCCCTTTGTGAGGAGCGCTGAAATGAATATTATTTGTGGGCTACCCACCCATTTTAAAGACAAATCCCTTTACAGAGTTTGGTGGTGCTTGGAGGTCCCCAGATGAAAAGTCTTAAAGAAACTTTTCTGCATGTGTTAAATTTAAAACTCTTTTTTTTTTCTTGGCAATGTTAGAAACTTCCTAAATTATCTTCTCTCCTGCTCCCCTTCTCTCAGACTGTGACAAGCAGCTGTTTAGTCCCCACGGTGAAATAGTGTATCCTGTGCAGCTGCCTGATCGGAGGCCAGAGGTGTGTCGGACCTTCATCAACGTGGCTCCTGGGCACCGCGTAGCCATCCGCGCCCTCTATATTGACCTGGGCAAGGACAGCAACCAAACACAGTCCAACTACGTCCTGGTGAGTCAGAAGCCTAAAGAGCATGAAGATCTCATCGTGAGAGACTTTCATCCAAAGGGAGAGTTGAAAGTATGTCATAAACCCTAGGGAATCACATTCTGATCTCTTCTGTAAATGTAAATTACGAATAAATGCATACCCTGATGTCTCCTGTATTTTCTCTAACCTATGTTTAGGGCAGCTTTTTCCCCAAGTGACCAATTGGCAAGACTCTAATATTTGGTGGGTGCTTGACTTGTAGGGTGCTGTGAAATAATGATATGGTCTTTTATGGTCTCTTATTTTATTTTTTTCAGATCCGTGATGTAAACACCATGAAGATGATGGTTTTTCATGGGAAACAACAGTTCTTCTGGGAATCAACTGGAAGCCAAGTTGAAATTGAATTTCACGAAAATGTTAAGGAACATAGAACCAGTTTCTGGGCCGAATATCATATTGCTGAGCCCAAATAAAAGGTGCCAGGACCACCTTACTGAGAAAATTAGTTATTACTGCCCCAGGTCATGCAAGTCATTCAAGCCTTTTGCCTCTGCTTCCCTATATACTGAATGAAAACAGTAATATATACCCAAGCCTTTGGGGTTTCCATTAATATTTATAAACTTAATGCAAAAGACATTTTGTAACTACCAAATATCTAGCAAATAGTCCTCAAGGGTTTTCTGTCTGTATTGAATGGTATTGATGCAGTTTGTGACTTGGATGCTAAGCCATAGGGTCCTGTTTCTGTTATGTTGTCAACTTACAGGATGATCATTCGTTTTCAGTGTCTGTGTCCCACTACAAACCTCTGTATGCCATAAGTAGCTAAGATTATGGTTTAATCATTAAGCTCACACCCCCGAAGTGTAAATGCCCCTTAAAAATCCTCAGGCCCATTTTACACATGAATTCATGTGTAAGGGCAAAGACCTATATGAGGACATGATATTAGGACAGGAGGACTAGACAAATGCTTGAGGGCAAGGCAGTTTCTTTGCTCTGGAACAGGTCACCCAGGAGGCTGGAGGAATTACCATCCTTGAGGGTTTTTAGGACTCGGGTAGACCAAGGCGCAGCTGATCCAGCCCAGCAATGGGCACAGTTTGGCTTTGAAGGGAGGTTGGACTAAGTGACCTCCAGAGGTCCCTCCTAGCCACCACTTCTGTGGTGTTACTGCCACTTATTTGACAGTGACACCAGTACTTCTTTCCTCTGAGAAAATAAAATACTATGAGAAAATAAGATATCTGTTTCTTGATGGTGAACTTGGTGCCAAGATGACTTTACTCAGATAGCAACAGTAGCTGTGCTGATAATCTGTTCCTATCTTCGCTCCACAGGAACTGTGCAGTGAGAGATTGCTGAGGCTGCATGTGATTATGAGTTGTAGCAGGAAGGAATGTTTTGGAGAAGTAACATTTTCTCAAGTTTGGTTTAATAATATTTATATATTAATATGTATATGTGATTATATATAAAAAATCTCAAACATTTTCGGTAGAAGTGTCTTCCCAGTTTGGTCCAAGTTTGTTGTAACATGCTGCTGAAATAGTCTTTTCCAGGCCTGGAGCTTGTCTGGACACCCTGCTCTTCCTGTTCATCCTCTTACCTCGAAGGCAGAACTTTGTAAGAGCTTTCATGCTAAATTGATGTTCATTTTAAAGTTCATGTTTTCCTTTTTTCTTAGTGCGTACTGGCCAGGTGGGTAACAGCATCCAGTGGTTGGACAGGAGCAGCAGGAGCCAGAGCTGCAGGTTTCTGCTCCTGGCTTTACTGCTGCCTTTGTGCCATTAGACAAACCACCTTGTGCTGAAGCAGCAGCTCGGCACTAGGAGAAGTAAAGTGGAGTGAAGACGGGTAAGAGAGAAGCACAACGGGGAGCTGGAGCTGGGGTGTTCAGGCCCAACTGGGGCTTTGAGGAGCGAGTCCTACAAATGTCCCCGTGTGCCTTGGTGGACGTGTTGCAGCGGGGCAGCGATGGGAGCAGGTTAGAGCTGCTGGCGCCTGCTTTCTGTGCTGGGGCTGGCAGAG